AAGGCCGACGCCATCTAAAATGCTCCAATTCTAAACAGTCACTATCATCATATAACTCATCATCATACAGCATTGCTGTGATCTTCTTGGGAGGTAAAGATGATAGGGAGGCTTTAACGTTAGCCAAACGCATCTCCCAAAACGAAAGCGTTTGCCCAACTATAATTCATCTCAAAGCTGCAAATAGTTTAGGAGCCATACTAGCTGAGACTGACAGAATACTTGATGATGAAATGTTGAGGGATATTAAGGAAAATATATACGTAACATACATGGATGAGCATGTAAACGACGGCCGTGAAACTTCAACGTTTCTTCGATCCATTTTGGATGATTACCAGCTTATTATTGTTGGGAGACGATTGAACCTTTAAGATCCCCTAACCTTGGGTCTCAAGAATTGGAGCGAATTTCATGAGAATGGGATTATTGGAGAGACCTGCTTTCATCTGTAGATTTTGGTAGCAATTATTCTGTGTTGATTGTGCAACAACAACAACAACAAATGACTGCTTAAGCCCTAATACAAACGATCACCTGAATGTTGCCATCTGCTTCCTGGCTCATATCCTTAATTAGGATGATGCATTGATGTGTCTTAAATTTATATTAGCCAGAAACTTTTGAATTTGGTCAAGTATTTGATGACCCATTGTGCAATCCGAGTTGTAGAAGGAAAAGAAAATGGACTGGCTCTCTCTCTCTCTCTCTCTCTCTCTCTCTCTTTTAATTTGATTTTTCCATTTCCTTGGAGTACTTGGAGTACTCTCTGAAAATGAAACTCGGTTCATTTCTATCAAGGGATGCCAAATAATTTAGGCAGCATTTAGCTCAACAAAGACAAAAGGAATATTCCATTGATGGTCACAATTAAATTGCTTGATGTTGAATAGAATTTTTTTTCCCTAAATTTTTGTTACAAGAATTTTCCACTTTACATTTGAGAAACGGTTATATAATTTGTAATCCAACCAAACAAAATGGTTGATAACCTTATTGGAGGAAACAATTTTGGAAGAAATTAATTTAGGAATATATATATATATATATATATATATATAGTGCACTATATATTAAATTAAATAGCACTTCGCACTTGACATGTACATTTTTAAATTAATTTTTAATTTTTTGCTTAATTAAAATTCAAAAATAATTAACTCAAATTTTAACTTAATCTAAAATTAAATTAACTTCAATTAATTAGTGGTAATTGGAAAACAATTATTTGATATTTTGATCAAATGGACACAAGTTTCTCTAATTTGTAACAATCAAGTTAGAAAATTAACCATTTGAATTTTTTTTTTCTATAGAGAGAAATGAGAAATCAACAACAAACCTAGTATATATCTTGTAAATAGAATAAAATTGCTCCCTACTAGTTCGAATTTTGTTCGAGTTGGACAGATCTTTGGAGTCAAATAAATCTTGATTATCAAAATAAATAAATAAATTTACTGCCAGCTCTATATGGCAAGGCTATGTGCTTATATCTGACTCCGTTGCACTTGTGGCCAATACCGATTGTCTGCTGGAAAGGAAAGATAGAATGAAATAAGGGAAAGAAAAAAAAAAAAACAAGGAAAAGAAATAGAGCAGAGGAAGAAACGTAGAAAACGATAAGAAATTCAACTGCTGGCTATCGAAGTTTAGTCATGCAGATAGAAGGGGCTAATGGACTAGTAAAGGCTAGCTGGAGCTTGGAATCAGAAGCTTTGGCACTTAAAAAAGGAGTTCTTTTGGCAAAGGAAAAGAAGTTTAGAAAGGTTATTTTTTGAAACTGATTCTGAGATCCAACATAAAGACGTAATGTGCAAAAGAGGGAAAGGTGATTGGAGGATCAAACCAATGGTGTTTGATATAAGATCTTTAGAAGCTGATTTTGATGTCTGTAAATTCAGTAGAGTCAAGGGCAACTAGCCAACAGGGCTGCTATCCTCGTTGGTTTTCATTCTTGATAAAGATTACCTGCACCACTGCAAGTTTTGTTTTTACCTTGATAAGGGTAAAGACTTCATTTCTACATGTGGCAGGTCATAAATATTACATGATGCAATTCTGATGTTATTTTAATCTTATTCTGCAAAAACATCTTTATCTCTCGTAAATATACCCATCTCAACTCACGTTCAATTTAGTGAGTGACACAGTGAGTTTTCATCATTCAGTTTGTGTTATATCATGCCTTAACTTTCCAGAGACAAATGTGTTGTTTCTCTGCTGTTAGACCTGAGGTTTTGATAGAACTACATATGTTGTATAATTTGTAAATATATTTATTTTTTTACACTTTATAAATATTAAAATATTAATATAAATTCTTTAATATTTTAATAACAAATATAAAATAAATGAATTGATCAATTCAGTTTTGGTTCAAGCTTAGGTATTTCATCTGTTGACTGGACCTTCTTTATCCACGAACACTTTCAATTAAAATAGCTTAACAAAACTTTTAACCTTTAATATTGATAATTTTTATCATATATAAATGTTTTTTTTATATTTAAAGTTATCAAGATTTAACTTTAGTCATTAAAATTAAAATTTTGATACTTTATCAACAAATCACATCTCTGTTATCTACTGAATCAAATCTGATAATTTGTGTATTTTTTTTATATAAAATATTAATAATTCATATATTCATATCATTGTATATAAAAATTATGTGTTTTAATTTGATAAAAAATATTAAATATATTTTTTTATTTTGTTAAATTTATTTATGATTATTGTTAAAATTTTAAATTATATTATTTTTTATTTTTTATTTATATTATTTTTATATCATATCAATATATCATATTTAAAATTATATTATTGAGATTAAAAGCATTCTAGGTTTTGACAAAAATATTACAAAACAGAGTCACGTTAAGTATTGATAGAAGCCAGGGCATAGGCCGTTTAGGGCCTTTTGAACCAAGTTTCGTCAAGTTTCTTCGGCTGATAGAATCTTTTGATCCAAAAATCCTAGAATTTCTACAAGCTGAGTCCGAATGTGAATCCCTAAAGTTGGATTTTATTAGTCGAGCAAACCTCGGCAGCGCAAGGGCAGCCAATTTTTAAAATGTAGAGAGTTCAAAAACGTCTTTTAGTTAGAAATATGAGATACTATATTTTTATTTTTATAATTTATATTAATATTAACATTTTTAATTGAACTGATATAAAATTTAACCGTGCATTAATTCAATTGTTGAAATTACTTAAAAATTAAAATAAAATAATAATAAAAATATTATTAAAAATATTTATGTTTTTTAATTTTTTTGCACATCTATTAAAAAAAGAAACTCAACTCATCAACCAACCTTTTTTTCAAATTATTTTTTATCCTTTTCACTCATAAAGTGTGTGCCAATATCTAGTTTATGTTATTTACATGTTATATCATTGTTCTTGTTTCCCGAACAATTTATTATATGTCTTTTTATCATCTAATTTTTGGATTTGGATTATTCAATCACATCTCGTAAATTTAGAGATGCAATTGAGTCCACAATTGTACAATGGGACAATTCTAACGGAAATGGTGTTAGGTGTCACAAATAATGCTAGAAAATGGCTCTCCAACGGCTCTCGTGACCATATTAACATCAGCCATTAATATTTAGTAGTTTCCCTCAATAGTTGCCATCTTTAGCTGATGATTTTTTTTTTTTTTTTGCCAATATTAAATGCAACAGCCTGTAACACAGTCTTGGTAATTTTCTGCTGCTACGCTTTCAAATTCAAGAAAATTGAACGACAAAAATGGCAAGAGTTGCGTGCATTTCTCAAATTCAATTTGAATTCTCAGTTACTACTATCATTTATTGTACTAGATAAGCTATTTATTGAAGAGTTCACCTAGACTGTCCATGTTCATGATTTATGAAATTCAATTAGCAGAACAAAAACTTGTTTCCTTTCTAAAAAAAAAATCATTTCATTTCTGATCCTAGCCAAAATTCCTTCCGAAGCTGAAGAATTCGAATATTGGATCTCATTCTGATAAGAGGATAATCATGTTGAATAGCGAAAATCTATGATAAAAGATATATATGTATATATATACATATGTACGTAAAAATATTTTTTCAACTATTGTAAAAAAGAAAAGTATTCGTTCAACAACGTGAATGAGTTAATAATTGGATTTTTTTTTTTTTTTGCTTACCTAATTTGTCTTTTAGAACAAAATTCAAAGTTCAAACCATTTAAAGGTCGTCAAGTCTGATTAATTTCATTTTCACATCTGATGGCCATGGATAGCTGTTACCTAACAACAAAACTGGAAAAAGAAAGGAATTGATTATTGAAAAAGTATGTACTTGCCTCAAGCACATGCCTTTGGTCTTTAAGATTAGATCAAAGGTTGCATTCAGCATTAAAGGAAGGTCACTACTTATTAAGAATATGCCATTTGGGCTTAATTCCGGTGGTAGAAGAAATATATAGAAGTTTGAATAGGGATTCTAGGTAATTTCATGGACTAAAAACAAAGTAGCAAAAAACGACATCCAACAACATGTCTAAAGCTAATTTATAAGCACCACAAGAAATCTGAAGCTACTCATTCTCCACAACTACCCTTGACAGACTAGGAAACATTATAATTTAATCTTTAGGAATCGACCCACACATAGAAATTAGTATAGGAAGAAGAAAATGTTGATCCGATTGCAGAGTTCATTTGAAAAAATCCAATGACACAAAGCCAAATTTATTTTAAGGTAAGTCTATTTTGTTTTTTCAAAAGCAATAATTTCTGTTTTGTAAGAATGTGGAATTTGGAACCCTAAAGACATTGAAAACCTTAGACCTTGGAACTGACAAAAGAAAGCAGACAAACCACGAAGAGATGCTCAATTTGGACACGCCTAATATGCTCTGGTGAACAAGCAATAGCAGTGAAATTTTCTGTCAATAGAACCCTTTTTTTTTCTCTTGCTTTTCTCTTTCTTTTTCCTACTACAGGATCATCTAATTTTGCCTTCCAAATGAAGGAATCAAAGAGAACTTTTCTAGGAAAAGAATCCAGAGGAAAAAGGAAATTAAAAATAAACTAGACCTTTGGTGTAAAGGATGAGTGAACAACCTTGTTTTGTCTCCCGGCTAGCCATAGCAGAGTCCTCCTTGCAAAAGATGGTGTTTTAGCTTGTGAATCTAAGCTATAGCAGCTCTGGTTTTCTTCATCACAGCCAAATTCACTCCCTCCATTTGCCCACCTGCCAGAGTCTATCTCAGAAATGGTATCCCTGGCACCACCAATACCATTTTTCACCTTAAAAACATCATCAGCAGCAGTAGTAGTAGAAACATTCTGATGCACTGGAAATCGAAATGAGAAGGCTCTCCTTGATGAATCCTCTGTAAAATTCTGATTGGCCCTCTTTTCCCGAAGCCAAATTTTCGATATTGAGAAGCTTTCTTTCTTGCTCTTTCCAATGGCCTTGCCATTGTTTTCATTAGTACCAGAACTCCCATTGGTTTCAAAGTTTCTCATGCTTTGAAAACCATTGAACCCTCTTCTTGATTCACAATCACATTCAGACATTGCTAGGCGGTGACCAGCCGTCAATGGTAAAGAAGTCTTCTTGCTTGATGGTTTCTTCATAGGGGTTCTTATTGGCACTTGCAAGAAAGAATTCTCATCCATTACATACTCAAAGGACCCCATAGAGAAACACCTCCTAGCGTCCACATTATTGTTACTGCTACTTTCACCACCATCAACATTCCTAAACTTTCCTAGCCTAACAGACACAACTTTTTCCCCAGAATCCACCACTACTGTTGGGTTGACTTCATCTTTTTCCGGGATTTCACTTGATTTACGCTGGGATGACCCCAATTCATTGTCTGCACTGTGACCCAGATGGGAGTTTGATCTCAGGACTGAGCTGGTTCTGCCTAGAATACTTTCTCTATCTGTGACAATCTCTCTTGAGCTCTCACTCCCAGACTCAAGAACAAGAACAATAGGTGAACATCCATTATTTGGAGAGAAATCAGGGAGTAAGCTCCCTCTACACAAAGGGCATGTGGAATGAGACAAAAGCCAAGTGTCAATACACTCCATATGGAAGGCATGGCTGCATTTTGGTAGCAATCTAAGCTTGTCCTCAGGCTCAAATTCACACAAGCAAACAGCACAATCAAATGGGTTCTTTACTCCTATGATGGCTTTGTAGTGAAAAACAGGGAGAGTGTCTATAAAAGATTGGTCAACACCAGCATCATGGAGATGGAATAGCTGTTGCAACTGCCCCTGAAGAGCAGTCACATTGTCTATATCTTCTGGCTCCCTGTTGGGAGGTCTCAAAAGAAATCTAACTAAAAGGTGAAGCAAACCAGAAACAAAGAAAACGATAGCTAGGATTATAATAATGAGTAATATACTGGGACTAACCTTGTTATCCAAATTGAGACTATCAGATTGCAAATTTTGTGGTGGAGGCAGTAATGGTGGTGATTGAGGGAGGTAATATGGCTGCTCTGATGGAGAAAGCAAGTTTCTTTGCTTTATTTCATGGAAAATCCAGTCCATTGTTGTATCTGGAGAAAGATGGACAGAACTTACCAAGATTGAAACTTTAGGCTTTAATCATATGCCAGCAAGGATCCCATATGGGGCTACCAAAAAAAAAAATCCCAGCCTTGATGACTATACAAATAGGAAAAAGAAAATTTAAGCTCAGTATGATGTGAGTTTGTTGGATTTGCAAGCCTTCTGGTTAAGACTCAATGGTTAACAATTGTTTCCTTCTACTGCATCAGATGCCGCAAGTCAAAAAGGACGAGAGAGAGAGAGAGAGAGAGAGAAGGAGAAGACTTGAATATGATTTTAAAGGGTAAGATATAAATGGTGCCAGAAGGTGAATTTCAAAAACTATGAACCAATAATAAATCTCTACCCAGCAGTGCAGAAAATAAATGAGATTAGATATCATTGCGTAAATACTGCACAGTCAATCACTTTCATGCTGGAAAATAAAAATAAAATTTCCTGTATCGGTATATGGTTAAAATTTCTTAATAAGGTGACTTTAGGCCATGAATTCATCGGATACAAGGCTCTTCAGGGTTGACTTAAATGGGAACCCTTTGATGCATCAACCCCATTGCCCATTTAATTCCTTATAGAAACTTGTAAAAAATAGTATTAGTAAAATCATGCCATATGATCTTCAGAAGAGAACAAAACCATAATTAATTAATTATTAGAGATTGTGCGTTGGGAAATTGGATCATCTTATGCAGCATTATTTTAGTACCATTGTTTTTATGTTTCTGATCCCCAGTCTTTCGACAGGTCCTTCTATTCCACCACTTTTAATCTGATAGATTGTTCCTGATTCATACCCTCTCCTCTCTTCTGGGCAAGACAAATAACAAAAGACAAGCCAAAGTCTACACTAAGAGAGAGAGAGAGGGCATTTGGAAACAGTGGAAGAGGGAGGGACAAATTGTGGAGGTTCCTGGACCCCATAGCCTAGGGAGGGACAACTTTTTCCTTAACCTTTCTCATGGATTTTGGTACTTGCTTTTAGGTGCTTTCTAAAGTGCAGTCACTGATGGAATCAAACACCCATTTTAGGAGAAAGGAAGTCTCCACTTTTGATGTCTCAGTGGTCAGTGCTAGGAAATGATCTTCTGGCTTTCGTGCACTTGGAAAAAGCAGAGAAAGGAATGAAAATTACTAAGTTGATAATAAGAATATTTACAACCAAAGGATGCATCAATTTTCCTTTTCCACGTTTTACTTTAGCAAGTGAATAATTGCTCCCTCAGTAATACCAGATGATCAGAAAAGAGAAATTTGGACAGCGACTCACATCTAAAAATTGTACTATTAATTTTGTATAAAACAACTATACGATCATGGAAAATGAAGAGGAAATTTGGCACATTGAAATGTGAGCTCGCTCTCTTATTAGTCATAAATAATATCCGAATATTTGTGACTTTTGCTTAAAGTATATGTGGACATGGAGAGCATCCCATCCTCGACTAAGCAGCTTCATGAATTTCAAAAACAGACAAAGAGTGACGGCAACATTGAGAACCATGAAAGTATATATAAGCAAACGATTAAACCCCAGGCCAGTCTCCAAAGATAAATATATATCTTAATCAATGGTCCCCGAGCAATTAATTGTCACGCACTTTGTCAAGAATTAAAGCTAATTTTTGCCGCAACATTAATATTAAGAAATAATAATACAGGTTTAAGTCATTCAACTCCGGAATTCATCTGAGTTGGTGAACAATTTGTTGAGATAATTTGACAAATTCACATAAGTAGATGCCTGGTATGTGGATATTAATTTAATAGCGCTCGAGAACAAATAGTTTTGCTTTTACTGTTGAAAATTAGAGATTAATATCAAATTTGTTATTATATTACGAGTTAAACATTGAATTTTGTTACTGCACTTCAATTTGTTTGAATTTTGTTACTATACTTTGAAATATATACTAATTTTTAGACAAAATATAACGAAAATGACTCAAATTTATCATTTATGTTGACAAAATATTTCATAAAATATTCCAATTTTATTATCTTTTTAGGGCCAAAAAATAATGACAGTGAAAGTATAATAACCAAATTCAATAAAATTGAAATACATTGAGAAAATGACTATAGCGGTAAATTTTGATATTAATCCCTTAAAGTTAATAATGTTTACAGTTGTGAACCTCACTTTTGCATCTTGAATTTGTTCTCTGAGAGTTGATGTGACAGGTGAATTTCACTAAATACATTGTTTGGGAGGAAAGGAAACAACAACAAAAAGTGATTAAAGGAAGTTACGCTTTTGTTCTTTTCCATTTTTTTAATGCTGTCGTCTGGTTTTATGAAAGTAGATAAAGGTTCAAAATACCAGCTGGAAGGAATGAGAGTAAGAAGCATGATTGCACCTGCATTTCTGGCTCAAGGTCAAACCTAGCTATGGTTTATAGCCATGATTTATTTAGTATATAACTTTTAAAAGTTCTTTCATGCATGCAGTAGTCAACACATCCAGCAAAACCTTTTCATTATATATTACTCCACCCAATATTACATGTAGTCAGTCCATTACAATTAATGTTTATCCATTGAGATACATAAATCAGGGTCTTTATTTCTCAACAATTTCAATGTTGCTCTTAGGACCAATGCACTTGGGATCAAGCAAGGCCCCTTGATTACCCAATATTGTCTAGTCACTTATATCTCTTATCCCTAATTTATTTAACCATTTGTAATTCGTTTCGCCATTAATTCCTCCCTAAACTTACTCGCTAAAAGTTACAATTAAACAACATGTATATGACAAGTGGCGAGTTCAGGTGTTTTCAAGGAATTATAGCTAAATTTGACATTATTTTTGTCATTGTATTTTAATTTAATTAACTTTTCTTATATTATATTTAATGAAATCAATAAAATTTGTCACTTGAAATATTTGGTAAAACTTTTCAATTTTATTATTTTTTATTATATCTAAAAATCAATGAAATTATAATGTCAAAATTAAATAAAATTAAAATACATTGTTAAATTCAAGATTAATGTATAACACATTAGTAAATTTGATCTTGATGACTTTTCAAAGAGTCAGACCCTGCAGGTTCTTCGACTCAGTCCACTGCAGAGAATAGGCGCCTACTGAGTGATGCTTCTCCAAACGTACAATTGACAAATCACCTTAATTTTCGTGAATGTCATGGTGTTTCTATTTGAAGACGTTACTTAGCCTGCTCTGGAGGATATATTTAAAACAATTTTGTTCCCTTATGCTCCAATCTCTATCCCGCTTTGACGGGTTGTGGTCATCACTTACCAGGCTCATTTCCCAACAAATATTGTGAAAAGAAAAATACAAAACTGCCTAACGTTTGACAATTTGCAGAGGCTTAGCTCTTTATCAAACCTGGATGTGGTCCTACAATTTTCAAGTTCTTTCAAGGAAAATTTGTCTGCTATCTTTGGGCATGGCAAAAACTTGGGTTTTTTTTTTTTTTTCATTTTTTTAACACTTACCCATGTCATAAACAGCAGTATAAAAATTAAATGCAATGGTAAATTTTAGTTTTTTATTACATTTTTTATCAATTTCTTGAAGAAAATATAAAAGATTACAACCTTCAGTACATAATAAAATTTCGAAAACAAATTAATTCTTGTTATTTGTAAACCTGTGACTGATCAAAGAAGTACCTTCGCTGGAAGTCAGATGAAATTATATATACTTCATTAACTCTTGCTTTTCACAACATGTTAATTAGTAAATGTAATAAAAAAAAAAAAAAGAAGGAACTGATTAGATTTCTTTTATAAGAAGATTAGAAGAACAAGCACCTATGATATAAATATTCTTAAAAAAAAAAAAAAGGAAATCTGGGTTTGAGTTCATACTTGAAATAATTTACAAATGTACTTTCTTTGTCTTACGTGGTTATGTAAATAATTGAAGTTTTAGAGAGCTTTTTCTGTTTGTTTTTATTATTTGTGATCAAGTAATTGTTATTTTCTGAATTTGTTGATTATCTTTTATTTATTTCAAAAGAAGAGTGATCTAAGAGAAATGTGAAGAAAGATTTTGATTGAGAAAAAAGACTATTGTTGTAGAAAATATAGGAGGAGATGTACTGATCTTGGTTGGTAGTAGAAGGTTTTTAATTTGTTGGTTATTAAAGAAAAACTTTTTGTTCTAAATTATTAATTTCATTGTGTGTCAAAGAGAGTGGGAATTATGAAAATAATTAAATTGAGCATAACAAATCCACTCCACTCGACCTTCTACATGCAACTTTTGTGCTGGCACATTAATATTGCTAATGTCTACATACAAAATGTTGGCATGCACTGCCCCCTTATATATTTTTATATCATTAAAATCTGTAGTCATGTTTATGGGGCAAAAAATATTGGATTATGGGGTAATTGCTTTTTCTTTTTCTTTTTTTCTTTTAATAAAAAATTTGCAAGTAATAGGATCAGACTTAAAATATCTAAGTGGTGTACTTCAACTACTCCTTCTGCGTCAAACTATATTATATGTCATTTACTATTACTATAAAACAAAATTTTTTAGATTTGAAAAAGAAATTAAAAAAAACCAAGGTATGATCTCTTGCATGGTTCCTCAATAGAAATAGTATGGTATATGTGGCATTCCTTACGATTTCCAAGTGGCTGAGCATCTCAGAAACTGTCAAACCATACCCAAACAGGCTACATGATGACAATGTTCATGTCATGCCCATTTGTCACCTCAATTCTTCCTTTACATATAATTTATAAATATATATAACAAAATTAGCATCTAATGATTCATTATCACAGCCTTTTTAAAAACTGATAATCAGAAAATCAAGAATATATAATTAAGGTGAAAAAATTTTGTAAATAATAAGCCATTGATTATGGTCAACCCATACAAGAAAGATTAAATTCAATGTTGGTCCAAATCGCATTACATCTTATAGCCAGGTTTCATTCTTTTAGATATATACCCAGGATATCATGATGGCATAATTACTTAGAATATTATATTATATGTATTTTTAATCATCATAATCTTTGTTGATCAAATTACCATTCATTTCTAAATTATTAAAGTTGTTTATTTGCTTTTTAAGACTCTTAAATATTTTTTTAATTTTTTGTTTATAAAAAAGACTTAAATTTTTAATTTGTGTGAATATTCTGAGACATCAAATATTGACTCTTCCATTAATACCGATTATTGTGAGAATAAATTTTGGACTAGATACAGGGAAATTAAGTTTAAAA